CCTCTGCCTAATTTTGTTGCATATCTTGTTAGTGCTCTTGAACACAGCGATGCTATTATAATAATGAAAGACACACAGTGCAATATTAGAGATACTGTACTTCCCTGAGCATAAGCCCCTCCTGGAGTATGAGCCCACCCCTCTATTTTTAGAGATTTAACAAGGGCATCCTCAAATTTAGGCCCAGGGTGTTTTTACCGGGCGTCAACCACATTTATTAAAATATGCGTGTAAAAAATGTATTTCATTGCATAATAATCGTGATTGGTACGATAGTTTGGTTCCTGCTTTTACGAGAAAACTCGCATTAATTTTTAAAACCACAGAAAGTAATTAATTTATTTTTTCTTTTATTTTACTAACATTTTATTTTTATCTCTTATGTATTATATGTTTTTTATTTCTTTGTATTTATGTTCCTTACCATACAAAAACCCTTTTAGTAGTGTAATAAAGTCATTATTATTATTAATTACAGTGTGTGGCCGCCGTGAATGGGGTGTGAACGAGCAAACTATTCTTGGACATGACTTGTTAGCGACTGTGAAAGGTTTAAATACTTTCTCTACCCTCAGTTTACCCTTTTGAAAATTGTGAGTCAACAGCTTTAGGGAAAAAAATCACTGCTTTTTGTCGAAATCGGATTGTATTTTAACATCGTGGTAATTCACTTCCGCATTGCGTTGAAAAAATTACTTCGTCAATAATCGGAAAACATCGTCTGTTCGACACAGCAATTTGATTGGTTAATGAAAGATGTGACCTGTTAGGTCAAAGGAAGTTGTTCAGGTCAAATCATAATGAAAAACACCATGGCGGAAATAGCTTTGTATCGAGAGTTTGCGTACTATCGAAAACATTCCACAACGAAGATAATGATAAAGATCTTGCCTTTGACTGTTTTCCCAAAGACCCTACCCATTTTTGCACCGTAAATTCAGACTGTATGTAAACCGTATTGTAATAAATGTGTGTATTTTTATGAACATGTTTGTTTCTTCATTGTAAAAAATGTCGTGGAAATCAAAAAGACGTAATATTTCTCCAAGACCGGTGCTGTGAACGAAAAATGTAATTTGGATAACTTTTTGTTGTTGGGAAGATGGTTACAATTTTAGAGTCGGAAACAAATATTTTTTTCTGAAGGTGGTCTTCGAGCATAAGCCCACCCCCTAATTTTTCCAATTTTACATGTTCAGGCCCCTGGGCTTATACTCGGGGAAGTACGGTACATGTAGATTTGACATTGTTAATTTTAGCTTGTTTTATGTCCAAAACCTGACTAGTGCACTGGTGTGTACAGCGTAGACATAAAACATCAACTTATGTATCTTTTGACACTTAAACTTGTAGATGCCACACTTCATAACAACATTTTTAATTGAAACTACAAACACCAGAAAAGTTGAATTTTTGTCAACAAATTAAAAGTCAACTAGAAGCCCAATGAAACTCAATAGAGATATAATGTATTTGGACATTAATAAATCACACACAGTGCCATATTGGAATGTCTGATTTTCAATACAGGGCTGTGGGGGTTTCATTATTGTTGTTATAAATCACAACTATCAAAATTTATTTGAATTTGTGGACTTCATTTACTTGTGAATACAGGTTTACATTATCATGTGATAATGTAAAGCTATGATGTCATAAAAAACTCTGTTAATTGTCATAGTGGTGAATTATAACATTAGGGTAACACAATGTCCAAATAAAGGTAGCGATATGGTATAAACTCTGTTAATTATCATAGTGGTGAATTATAACATTAGGGTACACAATGTCCAAATAAAGGTAGCAATATGGAATAATATCTGTTATAAGTGCTGAATGCTATTATCATAAATATACACCATGTCATAGTACATTAATTGGATTAATAAAAATATGAAACGAAAATTGATGAATAACTCTGCTTTACAGTGAGCTGTGTATTGTAAGAAAATTGTTAGATTAATGTCCAGTTGAATATTTGTCAAATGTTTTCTTGTATTGAAACTACCATTAGTTGTTTTCGAGCTATTTTTATGGTACACAATCGTGCCATAAAAATCACTGACATTTTATCTGTGAAAATGCTCTTTCCCATGAGAGTAATATTTAAAATCATAAAGAGATAACATTAATCCGTTCAATGCATTAAGGTTTGGCACCAAAATATTTGTAACGTTTGTGCTACAATTTGGAAATTTGGTTTTATTTTGAATATCTTTGTTAGTTTTGATAATTTCTAGCATCAAAAAATCTGCATGTTTATTTTGTGAAAAATGACAGAAGTCTACATTAGTGCTCGAAGGGATAAAAAATGAATTAAAGTGAGATTTTTATGACTCCACCTCATAATGTGAATGTATAAAAGTTGATGTCAGAGATATTTTAATATTATCAGTCAGTCTTCTGGGATCTTTTATTGCTTCTCCTGTTTGTTGTTGTCACTGTACACTAATTATTATCTTGATACTAGTATGTATGAACTGCCTAAGTCATAGCGACTTAACGACGCTAATTAATATCAATTTATGAGCACGTTTATTCTGGTCCATATATTATAAACAAGGCTAGAAGAATGAATGCTACCGTGTAAGACAATCAATCAGAATAGGGTTACAAAATAAATTTTATTTTTAGTTTTAGATAATTTGTGTTGTGTTTCATTGACATTAATGTATTCTCTGCACTATCTGATTCCAAAATATTATGGTTCAACTTCTAGAAGGCTTGATTATTCACATTATTTTTTTTATCAGTTACTCTATAAATTATATGTACATGTTCTTAATTAATTAAAATGGCGCTAAATTTGTAATTATTGATGTTTCTGATATTGAAACCCATCCAGCACTGACTGGAAATGATAAGTCAGTAAACTGATGTTTTTACCGTTGACAAATTAGAAACCCAACCAGCAGTATTGCAATATAGCTCGTTGTTTTGCAAATAAAATATAAATGTTGATA